TTAGTTAAGCTCGCCTCGAAACCAGTGAACTTTCCTGATCATTTTTGTTACAGTAGTCACCAAAGTCACGGTCAGGATTGTGGCCGTACAATAACTCTCACTGATCGGATCGAACTTCAGGTCCGTCGAACTGAGGCAGCGGGATGATAATTGCGATTCAACCAGCCGGTTAGTGGTGACTATAGAGTCAGCTGTTGGATCTCCAACCAATCGATAACCATCGTCGCACAGACGCACTTGTGCAAATGGGTGAACGATAATCGCAGTTGTCCCTCCTGGGGCACTGTCGAAATTAGACAGGTTATCGCATTAACTCATGATCTGGGCCTAACGAGCCTCTTACTGTCATTGATCCAGTGATTCCTATACCACTGATTGTGAAAACACGGATACATCGGCCCTGGCATAGCGGTGTTTGAGTTTGGACGCATCTAACTCACAGAATAGATGCATCAACAAGATTCTTCGAGGCTTGTTTATTTCAAAATCAACTCCCCCAGCTATAAATAAGATTAACGTAACCTAACCACTTATTGTGCTTGGGTGATGCACTTCTAACTCGTGCATCACGTCATTTCATCACGTATTCAACTCAGTTAGTCATGGCCGATAAAGACTGTACTGATGTCGAACAACACTGATCAAAATGTGTTTAGCAATCGGGTTCAATGAGTAAAAGCAACACCAGCAACAACAACAACAAAAACGAACAAACAAGCAGATACATATCTACAATGCACGACAACATTCATTTTTCATGAGAAAATCAGGGAGGGATACGTTGCACAACGTGCGGTGAGTGCTTGGAATAAGCAAATGAAATTAATACACTACGTAAACAACGGGTACCAGATATATCATTTTCTTTCGATCATATGATTGCTCTTGAATGTGTTTTGCCAATAAAATAAGCATTGGATCCTGCATGCCCATATAAGTCTGAATGATCACATCTGGTCCACTTTTGTGGCGTTATTCGAACCAGAATCGTTGTTTAGATCGCATTGGATACCATGCACTCAACTCTGTGGACACATTAACATTGTAAGTGAATAGGACATTCTATAGAACTGAAATTCGGTAAGTGAATTTAAAAATCGCCCCAATAAAAGATAATCGTCTAACCAGTCCCACAGAGCACATTTTCAAATAGAACAAGGAGTGGCTCGTTTTCAGTGATTCGTAGTCATGCCAAATATATATCACAATAAATATTACACTGTTTATATATAAATCAGTATTCAATCATAAAAACGTAAACAAATGTTTCGGGAAAGGGAAAATAACCTCATGGGTTATCTGGGGCTAAGTTCATCTTGGGACCGGATATGGAATTCTCAGTGATCGCATAATTGTTAGGTCATCCGATCGTTGGGATCACTCGGAATATGGGGTGTATAGGGGGNGGCACACAAAGCGGGGTGGTGCAGCCGAATTCCTACCGCTTCCGCTGTGGCTAGCATACAACAACGAACCTGCCTTGATAATCGACCACGAACCCGATACAGGGGACGGAATGTCTGGGTCACATTTACAGTGTGATTTGTTTCAACTAGGTGTGAAACCACTGCCCTAGTGAGTGACTTAATCGTTCCTGTGTTAATCCATGAGGGATGGTGTTCACGGATTCGTTCGGACAAACGCCTGACCGTGCGGCCTATGTACGTGGTTCAACAGGAACACGTAAATGAGTACACGGCAGAATCCGGCAATTTGTCCTTTAGTCGTAAGTACACAATTGGCTGGGAAGTGAACAAAACATTGAGCTTTGCTGCATGGAAGGTATTACTAACAGCATCTGATAGTCTCCTTTGTATTACTTTTGCTGATTTATCCCCCTTGAACGGCAAGGCAATGTATACCGACTTCTTTCTGACCTCAGTCTTCTTCACAATATCTCCACAGCACTGAATCATCTTGCTAACCAATCGTTCTAGATAGCCATTGTGTGTGAAGGCAGTACGTAAGAACCGGAGCTCTTGTTCTATTGTGTGCTCACTACAAATTTTCCTTGCTCTATCTGCTAGACAGCGCACCAAATTCCTCTTCACTTTGAGCGGTACACAGCTGCGAAAATGAATATATTGGCCCTTCCAAGTCGCATTCCTATGCACTGATCGTTGCACCGAGCCATCTGATCTACGACTCAAACAGACGTCTAGAAATGCCAATTTGTTGTTGTTTTCCATTTCTAAAGTAAATATTATGTTCTGGTGAGCAGCATTGAATTTGCTCAAGAGCTCATTTGTTCCTGATGTTGTATTGATCACGCACAGAATATCATCCACATATCGTGTATATAACACACAATCCTGAATGGAAGATTTGAGTTGGTTATTTTCGAATTTCGCCATGAACACATCGGCAAACAACGGTCCTAGAGGTCCTATAGGAAAGATACTCGGCTTTTGGGTAAATAAACATTCAAAAGTGAAAAAGACTGACTAATTACAGTGCATTATTATCTTGTTCAGCTGAGGATATATTCTCCAAAATATGAATATATTCGATACACAAAGCCTTAATGAGACTGTAAATTTTAATTCTGCTTTAATTAAATATATATAATGGGAGAAATTAACAGAAGTAAGGTAATATCTGTCATATCTGTCACAAATAGTCCAAACCATTTTTCGTACTACTACCGAAAAGCGTATAATACTCACGAAAATGCCATTTTACAGCTTCTGGAATTTACCCACTCTCTCGGCTTCTCGATGGGTGCGATAAATATTGACTGTATATTTATATCACTTATTCTTTAAAATGATCAAACAAAGTTGCATGTGAATCCTAAAGCCGTTTTGCAATGCAACGCAACGTAATATTACGCTTGGAAGATAAAGTTTTAATGTATTGCTTGCCAGACAGCTTGTGGAAACCCAGTATGGCAAGGTGTGTTCAGTCCCACCGGTGAACGGAAAACAAACAAACTTTCCTTGGATGTATGATGCTGATGGTTGCATGATGTTATACTCCATCCCTTCTTAGATCACCCTTCATCCTTCAAGAATGGTCCATTTCTCCGATGAGAACTTTGTCAGCTCCTCCACATCCCGATTGTGGACCTGAAGTTGGGCCTGTTGATACTTTCTCACCAGTGCTACTCAAGCCTGTTGATAGGCCATCACCTAATATGATGAAATCTCTTGTCAGTGCGTTTGTGGATATCATCTGTTCCATTCGCAATTGTTGGAAACTTGTCTTTGTTTTCCCCATCTTTATATTTGGTCAAATCATTTACTAACTATTTTTGTGTGGTGTTTTTGAAGTAACAGTTTATTCACTCATTGGTGTTCGGGTATGAAAATTTATTCTCGGAACCTGATGTTCTGTTTTACTTTTCCTGAAACATCATTGAATTTACTCAGTACCTGGTATCCTAGATTCTATGGCTCCGATAATATAGCATTAGTCTTATCCAATTTGTTTCTTACATATTACAATACCAAGTTAACTATTTTTATTTAATTCATACCCTTCGTTTTTCTTGTTTTTGACCAGATGTCCCAGATTTGTTCAAAATTCAGTCTTTTGTTTTGTATGAGTGTAGTGGAGCAGTTGTGGTGGTCAACAGAAAGCCACATGGAGGCCAGAAGATGACGTGCAGACGAGGCATGAAAAAGGTTGATTGCACGATTCGGTAGAATACTTGTCGCTCATCCCCGGGCTCGGGGGGAGGGGAGGGGTTCAAAAGACTCCGTAACTGGATGGTTGAACACACTGAAGGTCACGGCTGCGAACTGACAGCAATGCCGATCTGGTTGTCACTTATTATCAAACTAGAATGCTTGAAATAGTAAGTATGCACAGTCGGAATATGTACGGTGTGTGTTGGTCACAGAGGTCCGCTTTGTTTTAACGTCCCTAAAAATAGGCCCAATCCCTGTCCTCTTTACACATTCTCACTTATCTTGTATGCATTGTTAATTAGATGGCTATCAGTGAAGTTCGCTACACTGTATTAGACTGCACAATGAAGATGACTCAGACGATTCGGATGACTCGGATGACTCGGATGATGATGATGATGATGATGATGATGACTTGGATGGTGATGATGATGATGATGATGATGATGATGATGATGATGATGATGATGATGATGATGATGATGATGATGATGATGATGATGACTTGGATGGTGATGATGATGATGATGATGATGATGATGACTTGGATGGTGATGATGATGAAGATGATGCTGATGATGATAACTCGGATGCTGATTAAGATAACTCGGATGATGATGATGAGGTCAACGTCAGTTAGCTCTAGGATATCCCTTCGTTCCTTTAGATACAGACGAAACAGTTTGCCAGCAACCCTAGGTCAAAACAGACAGTGATGTACGTTGCGCATCGGGTGTGTCTGTAGTTGTCTACCGGTTTCACAATGAGTGTGGGTGTGCGTATGAGTATGACAGAATGCTGTGTTGAATCGACCAATCAGATGTTCTATGCAGTCAGAGTGAAATATGCTGTTTAAGAAAGGAAAAAACGACGTCTCATACTTTGAAGTTAGCATAGAAATGATCGAAAATGATACACAGAATGTTTGCAGATGGCATATTTGTCAGTGAGCACATTTTATTCCCCAGAAGTAATAATAATAATAATAAGCGAGAGAGCGAAATAAAGTTTCTTGTGTGTGGTGATTCGAAGACAAGGCCTACTTCCGATCTGGCTGTGTACAGCTGCATACATTTATATATGTGGGTGACGTGATCGACATTCCAGGGAATGAGTCAATCAGGGAACATTCAAAGGGAACTTGTGTGTGTATGTGTATGTGTGTGTGTGTGTGTGTGAAGAGAGAGACTGTTTGAGGCGCTTTCAGTTCTAATTAGTCCCTAAATGCAAACACGAATGAAAGAATCGGGTTCAACCATGAGGTGAGCATTACAGTTATGATGATGAATCGATGAGTAGACCAGAAACGAGTACACAAAGAGAAAAAAAAACAGTAAAAACAACGTGTTGCACACGATCCGGAACGCGCTANATGGTGTAAAGTTGTTGAGTTGCCTTGGAAACAGTTCCCGATGGCGAATCGCGTAGATGTACCATTTTGTTTAAATCGACCGCGCGCCCGGTTTCCGCACGACTGTTGTTTGATTGGGGCCTCGGATATCTCTGACTGATCCGGATCACTCGATCCACTGTTTGCTTCGTTCCGGACACGTTTGGTTCGTCCAAGCTTGATTGCTTGACTGGGTTTGGATCGGATCGCACGGGTATGTGGCCAGGTCCGGTCGCAGATCTACCAGACTGGATACCGTTCATTGTGACCATTTTATTGGATGCATTTGAACTGGTGCTGGATACGGGGATAGGTGATTTGATTTGTTGTGCTGGTAATGAATTGGCGGGGAAAAAAATTGCGGTTGAACGATTCTGATTTTGTA